TATTGATTTAGTAGTTATTTTTATCTGTTTGTTTATATTTTTGAAATAACAATTTTTTTAGACGTAAAATGAAACGTTTTGGGGGGGGTGACTAAATATACCTTTGCAGAGGCTATTGAGAGCTAAACTTGAAGGAGGTTTTTATTTGATTTGTAAAAGCAGCTTCGTGACTCGATGTCAATATTTCAAAAGCGATTGGTTGAAAACTCAAAACAGATATAATTTGGTACGAAGTCAAACTAAAACAACTATTCCTGTTGCTTAAGTGTAGGCGAGCGAAAAGAGCTAAATGCAAGGTCTCATGAATAATAGAAAAAGGCATTAGGTGGTTGGAGGGGGGAGCCGGCTGCTTACCTTAAGCATACATTTAAAGTATGCTTGAACCAACCGGTACAACTACTTAATAGTCTTAAATTTAAATTTTAGTTTAACAACTGTATTTCAGTTAACCGACGTAGAAAATGTAATGTATTTACAAGATGTGTGAAAAATTATACATATATTTCATAAATATGGTAAATCTTTTAACTCGTGAAACCTAAACATCTACTGGAGCTTAAAAATGAAGCCTCTGTTAGAATTACAAAGCTTTGTTGTATAGTTTTTTTCTGGATGTACGCAGTCCATAAATTTACTCCTTAAATTTAATATCACGTGATCGGACGAAAATGATTACGTTGGTATGAATTAATGTCTTGAAAGTTTAACCAAACACTTATTACGAAGTTAAAAGAAACGAAAGTACTAAAAGCTTAGTGAGAGTGTTTTAACAAAGTGTTTTATCAACAATAAAATATACGTTGAATTCACAAACATTTCCTCGGCGTCAATTAATTTATGCCTGTGTTTATTTAAAACAGCTTGCAGAATTTCAGCATAACTTCAAAGAACAATTTAAGTAGGGAGATCAAAGAACGTATCAAGTACCGTACTCACAATTGTATATGCACTTGCATTTTGGAAGATGAATACTGTTAACTAGCCATGCCTATTGGGGAGTGAGCTGGTCTAGTGGTTAGAGCGTGGTACTTCGGTCCCTGAGGTTCCGGGTTCAAATCCTGCCAAGTCACCAATGGCTTTTATTTAATAGATAGTGCCGCAACTCCTAGGTCTAGCCTGAAGTAATCTGAAAACCCCGGGCTCGTGCCTAGCGTCCTAGGACAAAAAAACTATCAATGTCAATTGGATGGCACTATTCTGGCAAAACTCAACTATCAATTCAAGCTAATGTTTGCTACAAAAGTATTAAAATTGTATTTCAGCTTCTAAAAACCGTATGTAAAGTAAAAGGTTGTTTTAAGAAACAGAGAATCAAAAGGATTAAGAGAAAGACTTTCTGTCTATTAGGAGATACAAAACGAGTGTACTTGGTGTTTCATGAACTCTTTATTCTCCTACAAGTGCCTCGTCCCTCGTCATCTCGAATCTGTGGGGAATTACTTTTACCCAGTTCTGCGAACCAGGACGAAGTGGGGCTATCAAGGTAAGGCTTATTGCACTCTTTACTCTCAGCAGTGAACGTTTATATCTCCGTAACATACGACAAAATTGCTATAAATAATATGTGGAGAATTTCTCACTATAATATGAGGATGGCAGGTTAAGTTTATTTAAGAGTGTAAAAGTGTACTAAGGAGCTAACTGACTACAGTAGTCAAATTCCGTTGGGGAAGATTTTTTAATATTACACTAAAACTTTACCCTCGAGATAAGTTTCTATGATTCAGCTCAGCAAGTCTTTGTTTTATGAATTACTCTAAGGATGTTTGAGAAAGAAATCAAAATGCATATTTATATGAGTAACTGGAGTCCTCCCTACTTAGTAGGAGTGGGAGAGAAATAGGGTTTGGATAATTTAAGATTATTAAACATGACAGAAAGATTTAAGGTATCCGGATAGCTCAAATTGTGTTAAATTCACAGAGTTGAAAATGTCCTTCCATCTATAGGATATTTGAGTTGCGACGTGCATGGTCGTAAGCATTATTGGCTGTGAACATGCAGCTGACCATAAACGCATTCACCTTGTGCTAGCCCAGTTAATGTTTAGGAACAAATAATTATTATAACTTTTTTTTTCATCCACGCCAATGACATTCCACATAATATTATTTTGTAATAATAAACCTTACAAATCTTAGAAGACGTACAAAAAGCTCGGATTTGTCAAACTTGCACTAAATCGTACAAATGAAACTAATCAAATATTCAATGTAACTATTAAAGTTGAGTACTATATGATATGAAATATTTATGAAACCAAACACTTGATAAACACATAACTAACATGCTACTAAAGTATAAACACAAATAAATAGCGATATTTTAAAGGTACGGCTCATTTAATTTACTCAACAGTTTTATAATTGGAATTTGCTTATTAAAAGGAACATGCTACTTACTGCTAGATTTTCCTGAACTAATCATAATTTAATGAAAAAATAAGTGTTTTCTACATCAGCATTAATAAAATGTTTCGGTTAAATGCTCCAAAGACCGAATAAATCAATTTTTAGGAAACATCACTAATTTATAGTCATGATGTTAAACAAACAGTTTACAAGGTCTTTCCGTGAATCGTGAAACTACAATGTCCTTTTGTTTACGACTTTTGTTGATTTTGTAAAGCGGATGAACAAAAGTACAGTTAAAAAATGTAAAACATTGTAGGTACATAAAAAAGTACAGAGCAAAATTACAGTTAAAAAAATTGATTTGTATTTCAAAAATTAAAAACAACTTAATAAAACTTAGGGTTAATGATTGTGGTTTTGGTTGAAGAAAACAGTCTAATAGCGATTGTTAACAACATTTACCTACGACCGTTTTTTAAACTAGCCGTTTCAGTTCAGTTCTTGGAATGGAAAAGGTTCACTTTACAGCATTGTTTACTTACTTAACAGCATTATTTTACTTAACAAAAGTACGGACCAATGAGGTTCAAGGATTGAGAGAAAACAAGTAAAATTGTAATGCTTCGAATTTCAACTAATCAACTGTGAAGACCAATTTAATTGTTAATGAGTAATGCAAAATTGGTGGTTTGTAATTAGTAGAGTCGTTGCATCACTGTCAGTGGCAATGAGAGGCTTTAAACTAAGACATAACCTTCCATAGAAGTTATGAGTAGTTATTGTTGGTAATTAGAAAACGGTCGAAGGTAAAAAGGTTTACGCAACTCACGTAAATAGTCTTCTTAAATTTCAACTCGTGTAGTTAACACTATTTTTACGCGATCGTTTAGTAAACTACCATTGTTTCCCATCATTAGCTAAATAATCCATTATGTTAACAATTTGTCAAAATTCTCGAATCAGCGTTAGATGTGAGCTGAAATGTGTTTTGGCTATTGCATAAACTCGTATCCTGCTTCTAATTTATTAAACTATTGTTACTTTATATACATTTTATTCAAACGAAGAAGGTTTGAAATTCTGGAAGAAAATACGTCAAGTGTATTCGTCACATGTATTAGGGTATTCGTGAAATTACTTTAGGATAACACAATTCCTAGGAATACTTCAATGGCTACCTCACCAAGCAGGAGAATTATTTTGTATTTCTTCTTCACCCAAATGTCAGTATACTTTAAACGAAAGTATTTAAAAAAATAGTGATAAAACTGTATTCAAATCTTTAGAGAAATTATAAAAAATAAACTTCGATGTGATAATACAATAATAGAACCTCAAGGAACAATAATAAATGTTGTTGTTTTCCTCTTCTAGAAAAAAACAAATCTCTTTCCTCTTTGCTTTATAATTTCACTCACATCCATGGATAACAAATTTTTTATCTCGAAAAACTTAAAGATATAAAGGTACCGTAGCTTAATGAAATCAAAATAACATTTTTTTATTTAATCACACCATAAAATGAATATCATTCTTTTCGCCCAACAAATATAGCTTGTTATATGGATGTTTTAGCTTAAGCTGCCACAATGCAAATATTCTAAATACAGTACGGAGATATTAGGGTTTTTAAAGAAAGTCAAATTTGTGCATTAAACTATTGAGAATTGTTTACTGTTAAGGAACGAGCTATTTCCAACCCCATTAAATAGACACACAGATTAAAGTCCAGCTACCGAATAATAATAAATTTATAAAATATATAACATTATATTCTAAAAGCTTTGATTGTTTTACAGGGCTCCCGCCAAAGTTGTTAGTATCGGGACTGCCCCAAACAATGTAATGCTGAAAATAACAGAAATGAAATGTTATTTGCGTTATTAAATAGGGTACAGCACCTCTATCTGGGTACAAAAATATTTATTATTGACTAAGTTGGATTTCCCTTTAAATTCGCAAAATGGTGCACAACACCCTTCGTCCATTATAGCCAGTTTTAACTTCAACTTGTATTGATAAAAGCTTTTTGTCTTCTTAAATATTTTATAGGCTTAGCAACTGAAATTCTCTATTTTACCATCTCTAAAGCTGGACTATAAATCCCACTCGTTTACTGTAACACAGTTTGCTATTGACGTTTTAAAATCAGCACAATATTCTTCACTCGATCGAACAGCCATTAGTTGTTAATCGACCATTAACCCAGTAAACCCCTCTCTTTTCCCGCCGTAAGGAAGGGGGAGGTCGATATCCAAGGTCATGAGAGGGTTGGGGAGGGGACGTTAAAGATAGTGGAGCTACTTGTTGCTACGTGCGTGGATCGGTGCGTTACCCTTATCACACTTACAACAATATAAACCCACCCCAGGAACCATCGCAAGCATTTCCCGAAGAAATATTACGCAGCTTGCAATTTTTTTAATACATCGATACAAAAAATATTTAAATAATTTTTTTTTATTAAATTCATCCATTAAGTAAAGTTTTCCGGATAAGTTTAAATTTTATTTAAAATTATGTTTCGGAAAACACATCTGTAAACGAATCGAATCCAACCAGGGTAACCCGAAACGCCATCGAAAGTTTTTTAAAATTTTCAGTAAAAGAGCAGATTATCCGGGTTGGTACTGTTGGGGTACTGACCTTGACCTGGCCTCTACATGTTAGACGGCGCGGCGGCGGCACTGTGTAGTGGTGTATTGCGCGGCGGACGATGAGCCGTACTGGAACTGGTGGTAGTGGCGGGGACTGTCACAGGGGGCGGTTGGCGGCTTCTTTCGCGCATGCGTACGTTGACGCCCACGTCCACGACGTAGCGTACGTACTCTCTCACCACGTGCCACGTCACACAGGGTGCATAGGGTATTGATCTCGAGAAACCGACGACCTCACAACTGCCCGACTTTTTTTGATCGTTGAAATTGATGAAATTTTATGCAATTTAGCTCTTCTACTTTGTTGATTTTGTAAATCTCCCAAGAAAGAGTTGGATTTCTGGCCCACGCGATAAAAAAAATTCGTGGGACGTTGGACGAGTCAATGTTAGTAAATCAAAAGTAGGGATGGTTTGTCTTTCGACGAGCAGAAATCTAATCAGTATCGGAAATATAATGTAAATCATATCTGATCAGCCAGTAGGGGATCTCTCGCTGCATGGCTACTACAGAATACCACTGCGAGGAGAGTGCTTGGGGGGGGGAGGGGGCAATTACCTGCCTCACCTGCATTACTTTCACTCTTCCCACCCCTTTATCAAAATTAATTATCTGTTGCCATCATAATAGTTTCATTATTTCACACATTAGGTTTTGATTTAATTTTCTCTTCGACACGAAGTTTATTTTACGATTTTAATTTCATCTCGTATGGACTAACTTTTACTTTCCCAATTTTCATACCGTATTTTGTTGACAGTGACTTAAAAAATCATTGAATTTGTAAGCAGATTCATTTATTACCTATCTATATGAAGTATTAAGCATACAATTATAGATATGCGAGTTTGCGTATTTCGAATTCAAGTGTGTTACTGTACTGTTATAAATAAATATTTGATTTACGATTTACTGAGATTGTCAAGTCGTAAACTAAATGAGCAGCGCAAAGGTTGATAAGATGAGTTTGTGTCAACAGGTCACGTGCAATGTTATACCGATTGAAATTTCAGAGACCTAGTTATGCTCTTGACAATCCCCCGAAAACCCACCAGCCAATTAGCAAGTTTATATATTCGTTCCATTTAAGAAACTATGCACATACACTATAATTTGCTAACTGTGCTGTATTGTTTCTGTGTATTAGAAACTTTGTGGTTGAATGGTGTTTTAAAATGTCAATATTAGTAATAGATTGATGATTTATATGTTTTTGTAAAGTTAAAAACTTCGTACCCTCTGTAATAGTTATCTTAAATAGCTTAAGAATTTGCATTAGCTATAAACGTAGTAATGTGGCTGCAAATATTGTTTAATACAATTATTGTGGAAAGACCAACAATTATATATTTAAGTCAGCAAAATCGGTCACTTGGCTTTAAATCATAAAGAGAGAATGGATAATAAAAAACAAATGTATAATTTTGGAACTTATTCCAAAACATACATTTGTTATTATTTGTTAATATGAAACATATGTGTAATCACGTTAAGAACTAGATATGCAATCTACCAAAAAATAAATAATATATATTCGGAATTTATAAATGGTTGCCATTAATTTAATATCCTAATTAATTCAAATATAACACGCGCTTATTAAACTTTAGTAGCTGTAATACCATAGTTATTTACATAACGTTAAATGAAGAATGGCAACAATGAGGTGTTGGCCATTTCGTCTCTAAAGCTGTGGGTTTTATCATATAACATCTTACTACTCATTTCCGCTGCCAGCGTTGGGAAAGGTCCCGCCTGGAGGCTCAACAGTTAGTAGGACTGCTGTCGGTGGACACGATCAAAAAAACATTCATTGGGAAACTCAGAAAATTACGCAACATTGCCCTATTCCCTTGATAAAAAAGCTCATTAGTTTTACAAAAACGTTTCAAAGCAGGGACTATATTGCTAGAGTAAATAATTGTGTAACTATTTGTAGAATTAAATCTCTCGACTTTAATAATGAGTAAGATCAAATTAATAGTTAATTGATTCCCTGCTATAACTGATTTTACAAAACGGAATAGGGAATTGACCTAGCAATAACTATTCCAGTAATACCTCAACCCCAACATAAATAAAAAGTAATATCACTGCAAGCAAATCGCATCACCTCCAGTATTAATATATGAATAAATTATATGTGTATATAAATAAAGTATTTAAAAATCCTTCTTCTTATGAGCCTGACCAAAATGTTGTACATATTATTACAAGTATATGACGCTTAACAATATTGTTAAGCGTCATATACTTGTAATAATATGACTTTACTTATTTTTAGATTATATAATCTCACACAATTTGAAAACTAACCTGCGTACTCCAATCAGAACTGTCCCTGAAAAGATAATATGTAAATAACACAGCTAAATTTAAACACTTAATTTTCCTAATTTAAGTCAAGAACAACTCACTGACATATTCAGCATAATAACAATAATAAAATGTAATACTAGCTACGCGTAGCACTGACCTGTGCATATAAAAAAAAATAGTGTAATAAGAGGCAAATAATATGAATTAGACTTTTTCATAAACATCATTTCGTTAATAAACTGTGAACTTAGTAACTGTTAGCCTATATAATAGTTGTATTTTTGCTACAACGTTATAAAATATCTTGAACAGGGGCGTCATTTGGGGGGGGGCCCTGTTTCCTGGGCTAGAGAAAAAATATGCTGTACTAGCTAATATGCAAATATTTTCTCCTGTCAAATCCTAAAAAGCACGGCAGACAAAAATCTTGCCTATTCTTCTACAGTAATTTGAAACAAAAATATTATTTTTAGTGTCTCAGTAGCACATTCAAATTAATTATGTCAAATTATTTTATTGATAATAAAATTTGATTTGCTTTAAGTACCTAAATACTTATGTTTTATTTTAAAACCAAATTAAACTGTTAATGTTGTACAAGAGAATTTGGTCATAAATCTAATAACAAAAATAATATTAATACACCATGAAACTATTGATCACGTTTCTTTGATGACTAACTTACCAACATATTATTATGTTTCTGTCTGTTATCAATAATTGTTAGTTTCATTTTTTTTTTCTGAATTCAAATAAATTCGACTCATAATTTAGTTTTTTTTCCAATTGCTTTTGACAATTAAAATAAGCTAAAACCCCTCTTTAAAAAAAAAAACTGCAAAATTTTCCATGGGAGGACCCCCGAAACCCCCCCCCCCCATTTGCTGGGGGGTATTCCGTACCCCCCAGTGTTTGCCCCCCCTCCCAAGGATTTGGTGAAATGACGCCACTGATCTTGAACGTAATTTAACATATTCAAAAGAGACATAAGTGGTTGCATGAAGCATCTTCATGGAGTTTCTGATCTCAATCTCGTTGCTGTGATGTTCTGGAACACTACCAAACAAATACTTTCCAATTGGAAACTATTGTAATTTGTAACTAACAAAATCTGACAGAAAATCAATATATGTAGTCTTAACACACGGTTACGTTATAATGTTCTTTTTTAAGAATTTAGATTGATGCGAATATGTAATTTCGAGGGGTTTCAATTAGTCTCTTTAATTAAAATACCTCGAACACAATTTTATTTTCATTTTATTTGGGGGGAAATGTGTGTTAGGAAACAAAAAGTAAACCCGAAAGTGAAATACAACACGGTCGTAGTTCTTAGTCCGCCCGCGTGCCGACACTCTTGTTCTATCAGTTGTTATACGGGTGGACATCGCCTGTCCAACAACTTGCATCTCCAAGTATCAGTGTACAATACATTTGAACACTTCTTTAATAATCGTACTCTAAATATAGGTACTCAGATAATTATAAACTCTTATGTACTAAAACTATGAAGGACGCATGAAATGTTTGAAAATCTAAGGTCTATCTAAGCAATACAATTTTTCGTTGCAAAATAGGAGTTCACTAATGTGTACTTCTTCAGCAACAGAAGAGACAGAAATTCAAAGTACTTATAAATAGTGGTTGTTTAAGCTATTTCTCGCCATTGGGCAAAGAATAAATTATTCAAAAGTTGAATGCTAGGAATCTCAGGTTAATCGCGCTGAAATAGTTAGGAATATACAGCACTACTTATAACTGAGGGCTTAAATTTGTTCTTATTTCTCACCCGGGAATAAAAATTATAAAAAACAATTATTACTTGTGTAAAAGCTTGCAGATAACAATAATTATAATGAAAACTATTTCCATTATTTATACCTGCCTAACATTGAATATAATGTAATGTAATACTAAATTTTATTGAATATAATGTTAAATAGTTTTAAGAAAAGTATAACACAACTAAGCCGTGTTTAATATACAACAATACCACGTGACAACGGTGGAGTTAGTGTGAAGCTTGTGTAGGTTTGATACTGATTAAGCTTTAGCCAGAAACAAATTAACGGTTAGTGGAAAAAACAAATGTAGTTACATAGCAATAATTAGGCAATCGCATTAATCTCACAAAGGTTGCCTACAACACAGGTTATCTTCTGGTTGGCTATTACTGTTCCGATGCATACATATGTTCGAAACTATTATTTACCAATTCACTTCAGAGGTAGTCTAAAGGAAAGAATCTGTTTTGTTAGTAAGGATGTAATAATATTTTTAATGCTTTGTTGTTTGATTTGAAGACAAACTCCTAGACTAAATGTTTGATTGCCAAATGTCATGGGATCCATTGATGATTCTATTGAGCCAATTGAGCTTTCAACAACGATAATTGTTCTGCACTGATTTGTGGAGACTGTAAGGTAAAAACCTACTAGTAATACCTCTAACACTAAGGTTTTTTTCTATATTTTTCTATATTCTACAATAATTTAACTATACACTAGTTAGAGTATATACAGATACAATTTATTTACGTTAGGTACCTAGGTAGTAAAATGTAGTTATCTGTTGAACTAATGTAAATATTATTGTAGTTTGTTTTCATTAACTTCAAATTATGTCAGAAACAATTTGGAAAAGAATAAGGTTATTGTCTCTTCGTTGATACTACTACTCTTATTACTATTATCATCATCATCATCATCATCATCATCATAATCTTCATCATTATTATTAAGGAGACCATTACCGC